TTCCCCTTCTTGAGGGGAAAATGAACCTCCTCCCGAGGCCATGTTGTTTCCGGATCCGCAGGGGAGCGCGGGGTAGTCACCCACCCAAGGTGGGGCTCGGGGGAAGAAGGCTGATCATCAACAACCACCAAGGGGGCATCACTCCCGGGGGCGATCTCCACTTTCTTCTGTTTTTTCTCCGGGGGCGCTACACCCTTCCCGGACCGCTTCCTTTTCAGCTCCTCTGCTGGGGAGCTTCCGGCGTTAGCACCGGCGACGACGGAAGCTGCATTCACCGAAGGCTCCTCGCGTCCTTGGGTCTGGGGGGCCTCACCCTTCTTGAAAAACTCGTCCACCGGCTTCTGCTGGGACGGCCCGTCTTTCTTCTTCGACACCTTCGATGCCTTCTTCTTCAGTGCGGCGTACGCCTTGACGTCCATTACCTGACCTGAAAGGGAAGGGAAATAAATGTCAGACGGCGACAATTATGGAAATGGAAAGACTACTAAGTGCTAAAAATGTAAGCCCTCGGCAACAACCTCCGGCGCCTTGGTAGCCCCTGTCGACGAGGGGATATCTTTCGTCCTTCTCCCCGACAAGACGGTATCGCCGAAAACCGAGGCGGAATAACTCATCCGAGAGGGTAGCTTCCTTTATCTTCATCACATTATCTGAGCCCGCCACCTTGGCCGTCAGCTTCTTCCCCTCCTTAGCAAGGGCAGCGCTTCCCACCTTCAGATGCCTCCGGAAATGATCTCGAAGGGGAACGGAAAAGGGATTCTCTGCCATCCTTATGTAGCAGAAGCGGTCCTTCCAATTCTTGTGGGAAGAAGGGACCTCCGAGAACAATCTCCATTCCGGGATTTGTTGAAGATTCGCGAAGCCTCCCGCGTGCGAGTGCCCCCCCCGACACAGGTTGAAGGATTGGAAGAATAAGTCTAATGTGGGGGTGACCCCCCGGCTCAGACATAGGGACAGGAAGCCTGCCAAATAGGAGTGACTATTTGGCGTCAGTTGGCAGGGAGCTAGCTTCACAAAGCGCAAGTACTCCAAGACAAACCAGTGGAGGGGGAATCGGAGCCCCAATTCCACCGAGAGGATATGCACGGCGAAGCAACCCTCCGGAGGATGCAGCAACACATCATTAGGCCCCGGCTCTACCACTTGCGCCGACGGCCCCACCAAGAGCTGGGTCTTGAGGTACTCAGCCTCCCCGGCCTTCGTCTTCACGTCGAGGGCTGCTGTGTTAAGATATGAGTGGCCTTCGGGGATGCCAACTGGCTGCCCAGCATCAGCAGCTGCCTTCTTCTTCTTCGGGGCCGCCCTCAGCTTCTTCTTCCTCTTACCCGGAGCCACGCTGAGAGGCTCCGGATCCAGGGGCTTGGAACAACTGGCTTCTGCATCATCGCGCGCCGGCAAAACGGCCACGGTCACCTGCTGCCTTTCCTTTTCTTCCTCCTCCTCGGCAATCTGAACGGCGAGAGCCAACTCCTCGTCTTCCGCTACCTGTTCAAATTCCTCGGCCTCAGCCTCGGTCCTGAGGGTGTCCTGGACCTCCTCGGCAAAAGCAAGATCGTCATTCTCCGAAGACGGCATGCTGGAGGACTCTACCTCGGACTGGCTCTCCGACGCCACCGAAGCCTCCCGGGAAATATCTTGAGAGTCGCTTGCCGACGACATTCCTCAGTAGTGAGAAGATAGCAATTTGGGAAGAGAGGGAGGCTGGGGGCTTCCTAAGGGTACTCTAACACTGAACCGAAAGGAGTAAGGGAAAATGCGCTAAGTGTTTCAACAGGTGGAAGGACTAACCTCGGGGATGAGCTTCGACCGAAGGGAATACTTTCTCTCTCTCAAAATTTTGGCAGAGCTCCGCTGTATCTCAGGATCGCACAGCGACAAATGAATCAGACTTGGGGTATTTATAGGCGACTGGGCCTCGGAAACTGGGCCTCGATTTGAAAAGCCCATCATTGCGGGCCGCCACCTTGGCCAATGGGTGGCACCCGCCCACCCCCAACCAACGAGGACACGCCACGTCAACCCCTCTTCCAACGGCCATATTGCAACGGCTATATTTCAGAAACACTGGGATGCCCCCGAATGATAGCCTCCGGCTATCACTCACCGCAGCCTTCAGGCAACGAATTCCACCTAACGCCTTCGAGCCCATAGCAACATAGGCCTTCGGCTTATCAATGTAACCACCCCTCGGGGGGCTCGTCAACTCATCATAACTCCTTCAGCCCGAACTTGCCTTCGGCCTCAAGGAGTGGGGGACTGGGATACACCCCTCGGGAATCATACAGAACGAAAATTTCTTCATAAACAATTTACAATTGACGCAGGCAGCCTCCGGACAAACATCAAAGTGCAAACCCTTCGGCAAAGGCAGGATATCACAAGTTTTCACCAAGTCACTTGCGGAAATGCGGCTTCCCCCGTCATCATCACATACAGGCAATACATCTATGCTTTCCCCAGAAAACCCTCGACATGTGAGGGACTGAGGGAAGCCTTCGGCAATCAACAGAAGACAAGTTCTCAAACAAAGGCACCCAGACAGGCGATGAAGCCCCCGGAAGAATCAACACATCTACTCCTTTTCCCTCAAGTATCTTTCGGCAAAAGGAGTGAGGGACTCCTGATGGAGTATATGGCCCATGAACCCCCGGCCCATAGACTCCTACTTCTCCCACACGAATCCATTGAGCTCAGGAAACAACTCAGGCCCAAATACAACGGCCCAAGCCTCAAAGTAGCTCAGAATGCACACTGGGATACCTTCGGCCACCTTGGCCGAGGGCTCCAAAACTCACAGGATAGCCTTCTCTGGCATAAGAAGCTGCTGGGAGAAAACAGGCGAAGACATGAGCCTTCGGCATTCCCATGCCCTCGGCACCAGGGGAAGCCTTCGGCTGAACCAAGCCTTCGGCTACACAAGGAGCCCTCGGCTGCACAAGGGGCCCTCGGCTGCACAAGGAGCCCTCGGCTGCACAAGGAGCCCTCGGCTACACAGAGAGCCTTCGGCTGAACAGGCTCAATCATCGAAGATTCCTTTTAGAGACAGCCAACCACCGCATTTAATGCCGTGTCACATCCGCCAACCGCATTCAATGCGGTTGACGTACCACTGCCGGTGCCACCAGGCTGATGTGACCCTTCGGCCGTTGGATTGCTGACACGTGTACTCTCATCGCATTTATTGCTGCTATAAATAGCAGCCCATTTCTCCTTGTAATGGACACAACCTACATCTCAACTCCACGCTGAGTTCATTTAATAAAATCGACTCTCTCTCCTCCTATTTGCTCTGACTTCTCTCTAGTTATTTCCGCAATAACCCCTCGGATTAGATACCCCCCGGGTAGACTATCCATCACTATTCAATTGAGAAGGCATTGAAATGGATTCTTGAAGATAACTGCGCTTTTAACTGCGCAATTATCTTCAAGAATTTATTTGAATGCCTTCTCGATTGAAGTTTTAGCTCACATTTGGTATGAGTAAACTAGACGTAATGAATAAGATTCTAAAAAAAATCATTAAAAAATTCCACCGGGAACCGTCCCAAATGGCGACGGCCGGACAGAGTCTTCTATATAAGGGCTTATTTGATCTTTTTATGTAAGTTCGAGGGCTTATCTGACCCTTTTCCCCTATTCTTTTAATCTAATATGATCTGTTTAAAAGAAGGCAACTTTAGTTTAATTTAATCTAATTTGCTCTGCCTAGCCCCTCTTGGCCAAATAAGGAGTAGAAGAATAGGAACAAATTTTACTTACATTTAAACAGATCATATTGGATTAAATTAAACTTTACTACATCAAACCAGACTTCGGTGATTATAAAGTACTCATACACCATGCATCTACCGGATCAAATTAGATTTAGACAAGCCAAACCAAAATTTTTTAATCCAATGAAAATATTGTGAACTTCCTAGAGAAATTGGCTTTATTGAGCGCCTCAAGTCAAGGAATCCAAAATTTAGTTGTAAAAAAGTTGGATGATGAGGGTGAAGTCCATGTTTTGTATGTATAAAGAAGATAGTAATTGCAACAGTGTACACCCAAAAAGAAATTCCCTAAATGTATCCAAATTATTTAAGCATTCAAGTAATTGAAAAAGACAATATTACCTGAAATATGACTAAAAAGGTCCAATTGAAAAATTGTTGTTGTATATTATACATGTTTTTTCTCGCCCCTAATTGTTAACGTACACAGTCAATCATAAAAAAGGCAAAGAGAATTTTAAAAATACTACATATAAAATAGGTTGCGTGAACGTGTAAAATCCGAGGTGTACACACTGAACGTGTAAATGAAACATGGCTCAAACAATTAGAGGAAAGTTTATTTGTCCATCAAAAGCCAATAGCGTTCAAAAATTACATTTTATGAATAAGTGAATTGTTTCTAGTAATGAGATGAATTGGCTATGGCGGGCTACACAAATTGTAATTGTTGAATGGAAGTACCTCTAATGATACAATCACAGGGTTATATCAAAATAAGATAAATTGAAGCTTGAGAAGAAACCTCCAAGGAAAATAATTGAAGGAAAACATATATGAGTCGTGCTTTGTATACACGTTTAGGTGAGTATATGCCAATTTTACATGTTCACTAAGAGAATTGTCTTACTTTTTTTTTTTTACAAATTGCTTGACTACACGAACAACTAGAGGTAAGCGTGTATAAAAATGTGTAAAATGGCGTGATAAATAGAAAAATCCAACATTTATTCTCTTTGTTCCTACTAGGGAGAGTTTTATCATACTCGATCATCTTATTTATTAGAACCTTTACCCGAAAGAAAATCTTGCAGTGTTAATCAATAAAAAAACTGATTGTTTCTATTTTCTAATGAAAACCTAGTCATTACCAAAAAAAAAAAAAAAAAAAATGAAAACCTAGTCATAGGCCCCGCAATTTGTCATCTTTGAATCTTTTTAGTCAATAGAATTAAGAATTATACTTTGAGTATGATATATTTTTATATGAAGTCATTTATAATATAAAAATGATGTGGAAATGTTCATTGTGAAAATAATTTCAAAAGTATAAAAATAATAACTTTCATAAAATTATACTAATTACAATCATTATCTAAATTTACAATCATTGATTTAAAAAATCAAAGATTACTAAGTTTTAAGGAAGGAATTTAGTATATAGGTGCCAGACTGACAGCCTTATATGTAATTATGAGCCTTAAGGGTGCTTAATCGGCCTCGTTGAAGACATCGAATCCACGTCCTTGCTTAGCTCATCCAGTTTCTTCATTCTCTGTCTTTCACTTTCGGTCACGACCTGACCAATTATGATCCAACAAATTAAAGAATACACCAATTCGGGTTAATTGCCACGAGCATGATGATGAAAGATATAGGTATAGGTTTCTATAAATCAGAACCAATTAAACTTGGGAATTTGAAAAAATAGGAGTAAAATAATGCGGTTTCCCTAATAGAATTAGAGGACACACTCTTTTTTCCTCTTATCACCCAACTTTTTCACCAAACACGTAACTTTTGCTTTCGCGCACTGAATTGTGTAATAAACAGAAAATGTAAGATTGAAGTTACTTTTGCAGCTGTATTGGCTGAAATTGTTATAGATGACCATTTTAACTGTTTTTACATATAATTTTTTCTTTATTTTATTAATAAAATATATTTTAAAAATAAGTTTTTCTTAAATCAACAGAATCAGCCAACGCAGCCACTTCAGCCAGAACTTCATAAATTTCAGAAGAATCAGCCAAATCAGCCGATTTTCGTGCTACCAAACGGGGTGTTAATGTGCCCCTTTTACTAAAATTATAAGTAGAGTACTCTCATAGTCTCATCTAAGATTCTGGTATAAAATCATTTCAGCCCGGGGTGGATGGAGGTTTGTAGCGATGGGGCACAATGACTTCTCAAAAAATATAGAAAAGTCATTATTACGTTGTATTTTAATGTAATTATGTAATGCCCACTAGGAAATAGATAAAATTCTCCTTCTAGGAGTGAATAGTTTCTTTAAAAAATCAATGATAAACTTATTTGAAAATTGTGTTATATTTTGATCATATTTGAAGAATATTCTAGTTAAAAGTGTATATTAGATGAGATGAATATAATTTAGTGGAGTTGGAAAAATCAGATATGATTTTAGAACTGATGACAAAAGAAAGTGAGAAAACTAGTTAGGGATATAAGAAATGCCTTTTCCCATTATATGAAAATACCACATTATTTGAATTAAATATATGTTTAGTTAGTCACACTTTACATATAACTAAGTCTTTATTATTTGATCAAGATGTTCCAATAACAGAATTTTCTAGATCTGCTTCTGAGTTCACTCTCAATTTCTTATTAAAATTTAACAAGACAACTTTCTCAAATTATGCATGCATAATATTAATGTATGCATGTATGCATACATGTTAATAGAGCTATGTGACTGTATGTGCAATATTAATTAACTATACCTCCATTAGTACGGTGATGAGTTGAGCCTTTTCCTTACTCTTCACATTATATAAATCCAGAACCTGTTGATACTCATGTTCCTGCAAAATTGATATACTGTGAGTTTTCATAGTTAGGAAAAGGTATAGATGAAGGTAACAAGTTAATAACCTTTAACCGTCTTCCGATCGACCTCATAAGAACATGTCGGCAGTTAGCGTAAGAGCACTTAAATTAATAGAAATGGTGGTTAATGCCTAAACTCCTACTATCTGATCTTCTAATTAAAACTTGTCTAAAATTGTAGAATTGCTTGGAATTGAGGCCAAAACTTTTGCCTCTTCTTACAAAACGCTAGTAGAAGAATCCACTTCGAGAGAATTTGGAAATTACACTTAAATTTTATGGGAGGTCAAATAGTCAATTATCCATAAATAAAAGTACACTCATGATATAATTCAGAGGTACTGAGGTAGTAAAGGTGTCGTTTTAGTTTCCTAGAAATAAATTAGAGGGGAAATAATACTCCCTCTGGTCCTTATTAAAGTTCTCAGTTTTACTTCACACAAATTAAGAAAATAAATTTGACTTTACTGTGGAGTGCACTGTTTGGCACTGTTTGGACACTATTTGAACACTGTTTGGCACTGTTTTGTTTCCTAAAATGGAAGTGTGAACTTAAATAAGGGACATCCCGAAATGAAAAGTGAGAACTTTAATAAGGACCGGAGGGAGTATAATATAATATAATATAATATAATATAATATAATATAATATAATATAATATAATATAATATAATATAATATAATATAATATAATATAATATAATATAATATAATATAATATAATATAATATAATATAATATAATATAATATAATATAATATAATATAATATAATATAATATAATATAATATAATATAATATAATATAATATAATATAATATAATATAATATAATATAATATAATATAATATAATATAATAATATAAAATAAAAAAGAAAGCAACTTTAATTAAAAAGTTAATATGAACATATGCATGTTTCACCTTGCGCTGGCAGGTCTGGCCCAGCGACTTCAAATCTTTGTTGACCGCATCTATCTTCTTGCGCAGTTTTGCAGCTTCCTTCCCAATCGGATCAACAAATCCTTCCACTGCCTGTTATCATTTCAGTTCTAATTTAAGAGAGTTTTGGTAGGGGTTACACATTTTACACCTTTTTTGTACATTTGTCTGTCTCCAGCATACAAATTGTCTGTCATAGACAACTCAAATATGAGTTGTACACATTTTGTGTACACCACACATTTTTCAATTTAAGATGGAACATTTTTATGCAAGTTCAATATTAGACAGGCTTGATAAATAATCTACCTAAAACATAAGTTAGTGTTACGTTACACAATAACACAAACAAATAAATGACAATTATGAGTATGAAACATGGCAACATGCTACACTAAACTTCGTCTTAATTCTACCAAAAGGATAAAAGAAGAGTTGAAGATGATCGCACCCTTAAAATGGCACGTGCACGAGAAACAAATTACATGTTTTAAATGGTACCGTAATTACCGGTTATGGTACTAAAATGAATCAATTTAATATCATAATTATATATAAATATTTCAATTGACAATATTATATTCAAATTTGCATTCAGAAAATTCTACATTGCAATCAAAATTCTATGAGCAGAGTCCACCACAAAGTGACTACATGGGAAGTAAGGTGAAAGAGACTTTATGTATAGAATTCTGGACCACAAACATGGTTTTTTGGCCAGAAATTTAAACAATATTGTCAATTGAAACATTTATGTATAGTTATTGTAATGTTTGATTCATTTAAAAATTAATGTACCAAAATGCAACAATATCAATAACTAAACTCCAAAAGACATACTACAAATGAGATGTTAGTACTGCATTTTGGGGGTTTATGATGTCTCGGTTATGTTCCTGAACTCCTACCGTCCATTTTTATAGTTCCGTATTGAGGAAACTGCTCATATTAGGACTAAAACATAATTATTTAAAAAAAAATGGAATCATACCCTGTATTTTTTATTTTCTTTAAAAATAACTAAATATTACACAAAAATTGAGCTTATACTCCCTCCGTCCCGGGGAGAAGTTCCTAATTTCCTTATTTGGATGTTCCAAAAGAAACTTCCCATTTCCCTAAATGGAAAGTTATCCTACATTGAAACAGTGCCAAACAGTGTCGAAACAGTGCTAAACAGTGTCGAAACAGTGCCAAACAGTGTCGAAACAGTGCAAAACAGTAAAATTTACCCCTCAGTAACTTTATCTCCTAAAAATGTGTGAAAGTCAACCCGGGAACTTCTCCCCGGGACGGAGGGAGTATTATTTAAAAAAGATTGAATCTCCAACTCCAAGGTCCAACCGCTAAAGCATGTTGTAAATCACACTGACTCGATGTGTCTATTTGACGGTAGTAAACCTCATACTCGTGTAGACCACATTATAACTGTATTCTTCGTACGGTCAATCGGCCATTATCATTGTACAAACTTTTTCACTGCTTTGCTAATTGACTACTGTATAAAAATTGATCTTATTATATACTCCCTTCGTCCCGGAAACAAGTTCTCACTTTTCTTATTTGGATGTCCCAAAATAAACTTTCTACTTCCTTATTTGACAAATTATCTACGTAAAACAGTGCAAAACAATATAAATAGTGTAAAAGAGTGTGAAAGTCAACTTGATTCTGGGACAAGGGAGTAAATGTATACAGAGTATGTACTGTAATTATTAAGAGAATGCAGAAAGAAAAGGCAAGATAGTGCAATTGGAGGCGATCCAGGGATGCCGAGTTAACTGATAGACGAGCAAGGCATGAACTTTACCTTATGGAGTTCTGCCAAACGCCTATGTTCTTCCCCGACGCGCCCTAAATGCGCCTGCAACCTGTCCGTCACTTCCTTCTTTCTCCTCTCGAACTCTTCTTCCCTCGCACGATAGGCGGCCAGAGCAGTTCTCGTCATGTCCTCTGCCTCATCCTCACCGATTTGAGAATCATTCGTCGCCGACGAGTTCTTCGACTGAGGATTTTCCAGATCTGATCGCGGCTGCTCCTTCACCTGTTTTTTGGTGGCCATTGCCGTTTTAGCATGTATCTCCTCCAAACCTGCCCTTTTGAATTCTGGTGATTTGTTTGTTTTTTCCCCTTCCCGTTTGGCCTTTTATGCTTTAAAAGGATGAATTGTAAATTGTAAGCTTAGGATTCTTAGCTACTCCCTCCGTCCCTTATAACTTTGCCAACTTTCCTTTTTTGGACGTCCCACTAACTTTGCCACTTTCCCTTTTAAGTAAAGAATTTGTGGTTCCAGTTAATTCTCTCTCCTCTGCACAAACCTCAACCACACAGTTTTTACTTTATTAATCCCCGTGCCGGTCAAACTTGGCAAAGTATTGAGGGACGGAGGGAGTACCTTTTCTTTTCCTCTATTTTGGACCTTCCTGGTCTACTGGATAGGTTACTTTAATGAGTACTATAGACTATAGAGTAGTATCTGGGTTCACTATTTCTGCCTTTCTTGCTTTGCCAGCATTTTGTTGGTCGGAAATGGAAATGTGGAACGGCTCATTCACATGTGACTGAGGTGAGGATGTTTTTTTGGATTGATATTTGCTGGTCTTGTGTGTCTAGTCTGATAAATATTTGGTTTCTGTACATTTTATAATTACAGAAACCTAACCTGGTTTGGTCTGATCAGGTTTAGAACTGAAAACGGTTGAAAAGAATTCATCATAATTCTTGGGAGACTATAATTCAACACGGTAGAATGCCAAAGTTTGAAAAGAATATACATAGAATTAATGGCACGGATATCATTGTGCTGTTTCCACAAAATTATGACTGTTAAACTTTAGATTGAAAAGCAATTCAACAACTAATGAATTGTTAAGAAAGTCATTCGATATGGAGTAATTAATTAAAAACCCTCATTGATTTGTTGCAAGCCTGCCATTGCTTAACTTTGTCATTGATTACTAGACTCTCAAGAATTCACCTCAAGCCGTTGAGAGAAGTATAAATGAGTAATGAGTTGCTCGAATAATCCGACAGGCGTGCATGTTCTCACATTTGGGTGATATTCTGTTTTTGAAATAGCTATTCCAAGGCTAACCGCAACTCATTTCCATTAATAAATCAATTTTGCCATCATTTTATGATGACACGGCAGACCCCTCGGTCTCAACGTGATGATGACACGGCAGACCCCTCGGTCTTAACGTGATCATCTATTTGAAGACCGGTCTCATCCTCCCAATTCATGGATGAGGACCGTTGTGTGGATTTCCGGACCGACCCCTAAGTGTCGACGTCCTTGCATCACAGCAGACCCCTCGGTCTCAACGTGATCATTTATCTGAATACCGATCTCATCCTCCCACTTCATGGATGAGGACCGTTGTGTGGATTTCCGAACCGGCCCCTCAGTGCCGACGTCCTTGCATCACTGCAGACCCCTCGGTCTCAACGTGATAATTTATCTGAAGACCGGTCTCATCCCCTCAGGCCCTCACTCCATGGATGAGGACCGTTGCGTGGATTTTTCGGACAGGTCCCTCAGTGTCGTTGTCCTTTGCATCACGGCAAGCCCCTCAGCCTCGGCGTGATTCTCATCTCGAGACCGGCTCTCCAGAGCCGAGTGTCTCGTTATAGCGATTGGGCTCGCTATCCCTTCCCGGATGGTGACCGTCGCCTTTACATGATGATCGTCTCATCATCGCCTCGTCATCGTTATTCGGATTGGCTCATCATATTCGCCATCCTCATATCACGACCGACCCCCTCGGCTACGGCGTGATTCTCATCTCGAGATCGGCTCTCCAGTGCCGAGTGTCTCATTATAGCGATTGGGCTCGCCATCCCTTCCCGGATGGTGACTGTCGCCTTTACATGACGACCGACTCATCATCGCCTCGTCATCGTTATTCGGATTGGCTCCTCATGATCGCCATCCTCACATCATGACCGCCCCCCTCGGCTACGACGTTATTCTCATCTTGAGACCGGCTCTTCGGTGTCGAGTGTCTCGTTGTAGCGATTGGGTTCGCCATCCCTTCCCGGATGGTGACCGTCGCCTTTACATGACGACCGACCCATCATCGTCTCGTCATCATTATTTCGGATCAGCTCCTCATGACCGTCATCCTCATATCACGACCAGCCCCTCGTCCTCGGCGCGATTATTTATCATCGAGACCGGCTCCTCAACGTCGAATTCTTGGTCTATCGACCGGGCTCGTCATCCTTCCCCGGATGGTGACCATCGCCATTACATGACGACTGACCCATCATTGCCTCGTCCTCATATTCAGACAGGCGTCCCATGCATCGTCCTCATATTTAGACCCGCGTTCAATGCCTCGTCCTCATATTCAGACAGGCGTCCCACGCCTCGCTCCGTCATCTTTATTTGATGATGAGAAGTTCATTTATAAGCCCCTCGGCCATATATCGCTCTGTCATCTTTATTTGATGATAGGAAGCTCATCTACGGGCCCATCGGCCATATGTCGCTCCGTCATCTTTATTTGATGATGGGAAGCTCATCTACGGGCCCATTGGTCATATATCGCTCCGTCATCTTTATTTGATGATGAGAAGCTCATCTACGGGCCCATCGGTCATATCTCGCTCTGTCATCTTTATTTGATGACGAGAAGCTCATTTATAGGCCACTCGGCCATATGTCGCTCCGTCATCTTTATTTGATAACGAGAAGCTCATCTATAGGCCCCTCGACCACATATCACCCTGTCATCTTTATTTGATGATGTGGCTCATTCACAGGCCCATCGGCCATGTATCGCCCTGTCATCTTTGTTTGATGACATGAGACTCTCATATAGGCCCGTCGGCCATACATCGCCCTGTCATCTTTATTTGATGACGTGGAGCTCTCATACAGGCCCATCGCCACATATCGCCCCGTCATCTTTATTTGGAGCTCTCGTACAGGCCTCTCGCCACATATCGCCCCGTCATCTTTATTTGGAGTTCTCGTACAGGCCTCTCGCCATATGCCTCCCAATCATCTTTATTAGATGACATGGAGCTCATGCAATATCTGCCTACCATATGCCTCTCGGCCATTCCTCCTAGCCACCTTTATTTGATGGCGCGGAGTTCAGACAGACCTCTCGGACATACCTCATAGTCATCTTTATTTGATGACGTGGAGCTCATATTGGCCCATCGGCCTTATATTTTGGTCATCTTTATTTGATGAACCGGACATCATATTACGGACGGTCGCTCGACCCATCGTTTAGTCATCTTTATTTGATGACTAAGACTACTTATCATGACGAGCTACCCACATCTAGAGATCAGCCTCGGCCATCCCCTCAGCAGACGGATACCGCTGCAGCTCCATCCTTTGGCCGAAGGGCTCACACCTTTTGTTTCGTTTTGGGGGGATCCAGTGTATTCTTTTTCCCTCATTAGGATTTTTTCCCACTGAGTTTTTCCTAATGAGATTTTTAACGAGACATGCATTACTCTACTCCCTTTCACCTCATTATATTGATGCAACTTGCAACTTGCATAGAGCGGGAGCCTCAGTTTTTTATTTTTAAATTAAGAGAACTGTATATGAATTATGTTAATAATACTATCGTACTATCTACGGAGTAATTGAGTAGGACATTGTCAAACGTACAATGGGTTTTCCCAGAAAAAAACGATAGGCAATTCCGGATCGGGGTTCAAAACAAAGTATGCCAACGGGAAATGATAAACTCAAGCAGTCAAGCGGCAATTCGGACGAAAGGCAAATTCCAAAACTCGCTGATTTTCCCTCCACTCCTGTTCTGTGCTAAAATGCGCTCCAAGGACAGGATCTCGTACTTCTACGATGGTGAGTTCCCCTGTTCTCCAATTTCCTATACTCGCGTCTTCAATTTCCGGACCCTTTAGTTCCTAAAACCCTTGCTCTAGAACAGGCGTGTGTGGTATAGATTGATGTAAATTGGTCCGTGTTTGTACTAACTTTTGATTCGGTGAGAGCTGCAGGGGACGTCGGGAATGTCTACTTCGGGCCTAACCATCCGATGAAGCCTCACCGGCTGTGTATGACCCATCATCTGGTTCTAGCTTATGGTCTTCACAATAAGATGGAAATATATGTTCGTATTTAATTTTCTTTGTTTCCGCTTCCAGCTCTCTTTTTCCGGGTAACAGTTATGCTGCTATCTTGCTAGTTCTATTTTTTCTCGTTATATATTTTGTATGTGTATGTTTTGATTGGAGTAGAGGCCTCACAAGGCATATCCAATGGAGCTGGCTCAATTTCATACAGCTGAGTACGTTGAGTTTCTGCACAGGATAACGCCTGAAACTCAGAATCTATTTGGGACTGAACTGAAAAGATGTAATTTTACCCGCTTATTTTCTGTTATTACTGCTATTTGCCCCTAAACATATGCTAGTGATTTCTGTTTTTTCTGAAATACACCTGCATAATAGCAAAGTATTGCAGAGTATGTAAGTGAGAAAGAGAGGTGTAGGTGGGGTGTCTTAGAGTACGTTTGTGAGTTAGACATTGGATTATTTTATAGGGGAAGGGAGGTGAGGGGTCTTTTTTTATTTTTAAATTAAGAGAACTGTATATGATTTATGGTAATAATTGATTAGGACATTGTAACTATACTAATTTTTCATTTTATGCCTTTTATTTTAAAGTAAAGAAAAGAATACCCCCCCCCAAAAAAAAAATGCCCAATTCTTCCAAACATACTCATAAGGTATCTTTGCATTAACAGGTTTGGAATGGTTTAGAGGGACAAGATTTGGAGGGTTAGTCTACATAAAGATAGCTATTTGATATTTTATAAAAACCAAAATTTACCAAAATATGTGATGATGTTATACTTCATTCACCTTTTGTTTGTTTTCAGAAACATTCTATTTATCAACATACAGACTAACTCACTAACCCCATTTCTTTCCTCCCAAACCCTCCATCTAAACAGACCCTTACTTTCTTAATTCATGGACAAAGAAGGATGTATGAGTCATTAGTTGTGCAACAATGAGTGGTCTTCTAATTCTAACCTTCTATTCATTGGATTGTATTCACTTTCAGTAACCCTGTGTGTTCTAACCAAATCCTATTTTTCTTCTTACCAGATAATCTCGGAGAGGATTGTCCTGTATTTGATAACCTGTTTGAGTTTTGTCAAATTTATGCGGGCGGGACAATAGGTAAACTAATCCTGATAGATTCCTAATTCAAATCAAGCCACCATGCCATTTCTGACTCTCTATCAGCACAAATTGGCAGATGCAGCACGTAGATTAAACAATCAACTATGTGACATAGCTATAAATTGGGCGGGTGGTTTGCACCATGCTAAGAAATGTCAGGCCTCAGGATTTTGCTATATCAATGACTTAGTTCTTGGAATTCTGGAGCTTCTTAAGTATCATCCACGAGTTTTGTATATCGATATCGATGTTCATCATGGAGATGGCGTAGAAGAGGCTTTTTATTTTACAGATAGGTAAATTTTCTCGCTTCAATCTTCACTCATCTCATAATTGGTTTAGTGGTCCCGCCCCCTCAAAAAAGATTCTCCTTTCACTGGATACAACTTTATAACTTTAGTAAGGTCCAACTATTAGAATAGATCAGTCCTAGCTATATTTTTAACCAGTTCGAGACACCTTTGATCAAATACACTAAATGTACTAAAAAGCTGCTTCTTTGCTTCTAATATGACTTTTTGTGGGATAAAAAATTTGTTTTCGAAATGATTCTCTTTTGGGAGAGGGGGGAATAAATGTTATGCCAAATTCAATTGTCATTAATTTAATCCTACTTTATGCTCGATAAGTTTCACTTTGAAGCTTGCAAATGGTATAGGCGTAGCAAGTGACTAGAAGTTATCGTAATTGGTTGGTTCTTCCATGTATTTGGGCCAACTATTGATAAGGAGTTCATGTATCCTTGCCACAGCCTGTTAATATTTTTCATGGTAGCAAAAGCATCAACTTTCTATTTTATACTTCATTTATCTGTTTTTGTAGTTGATCCAATTTCTTTATCTGGATGGGTAGTTAAGAATACAATGGTCATAGTGGACCATTTACTTTGGACTTCTCCTACTCAGTAGAGAAAATACTTTCCTCTTATCTGGTTCATGCACTCATCATCTATGCCATTAAATTACCATCTAATAGTTTTCATAGCTTATTTAGTAAAAGATAGATACATTTTATTCTCGAGTTCTTAGAAAAAGATCTAAGATCAAAAGAAAAGTATAGCACATATTAAAAGTTATAACTATATTAATTGAACTTTACATAATATATTTAGTATTTTGCCTCCAAAGAGTGTCAAGTGTATGGGAAAATACATGCTACATATCCTGTTTTGTGAGATTCGAATTGATGATAAAAGTCTAAATTGCAACTTTTTAGGGTAATGACAGTCAGTTTCCACAAGTATGGGGATAAGTTCTTTCCTGGAACTGGTGAAATGAAGGTTCACTTCCTTGCTGCATTCTTGTTCTTATTTTTTATTTGTGAATTTTCGCTATTCTCCATTTGACAAAAGTGAAGGGGAGCCTTGGGGCATTGGTTACAGTGTTGGTGTGTGACTGAGAGGTCATAGGTTCAAGTCTTGGGAGCAGCCTCTTGTCAAAATGACAAGGGAAAGCTTGCTCTTTATACACCCTTGTGGTGGGAACCATCGTTAGACCCTCTCCTTGTGGGGATGCCAATGTGCACCTGGCTGCCCTTTATCTATTTGACAAAAGTAATGCATTATATGAAGATAGAGTGATTACCAGGGTGCTAGTGCATTTTAGGATCTTGCTCCACCTACTTTAAAGTTAACGTGAGTGTATTTTGTTGGCCGAAGATATTTAAGGTGGCCTACCTTGTTAAGGAATTGCTAGTTGATACTCCTTGCTTGGCTATTGTTTCATTATTTTTTGGAGATGATTAGTAAAAAAACATCAGTACAATTTTAAAAAGAGTTCTGTTTCATACTTTCATTTTATCCATGCTTGCGAATTCTTATTCTTAGATTTTAATTTAATGCATGAATTGTCTTTTATTTTTCTTCTCCATCCCAATTCCTTTTTCCCCTATGCCAACATAGTGAAAAAGTGTGCAAATTACCTGTATAATTATTTCTGCACACTTTAAACATGAAACTAATATTATTTGTAGTGTCTCCCAAGGCCTGAACTGTTGGCGTAGTGATAAAGTGATAGTTTAATTTTGAAGGATGTAGGAGAAAGAGATGGGAAATTTTATGCAATAAATGTGCCGTTCAAAGACGGGATAGATGATTCCAGCTTCACTCGTCTCTTTAGAACAGTAAGATTGTGCCATGAAACACAAACATCTTCATTTTTTATATATTTTTTAATGGTTGTTCCTTCTTAGATTCTTTCTTTGGGTTTGGCATTTGTAGGTCATTTCAAAGGTGGTTGAGACATATTTACCTGGAGCAATTGTTCTGCAATGTGGGGCAGACTCCCTAGCTGGTGACCGCTTGGGCTGCTTTAACCTCTCCATTGATGGTGTTACTCTGCTTGTAATTACAATTTTGTGTTCTATTATGTCTTTATAGGCTGTTTTTATGTGGTGTATAATTATCTGATGCTTCTTCTTGCAGGGCATGCTGAATGTGTTCGGTTTGTGAAGAAATTTAATGTACCCCTGCTGGTAGTTTTTTTCCCAGTCACAAGGTGTGCTTAATGTGGAACTGTGTGATACTGTGATTGATTAACAATGAGGGGCACCCATTTCACAGGTAACTGGTGGAGGGGGGTACACAAAAGAAAATGTGGCTAGATGTTGGACTTACGAAACCGGGGTTCTTCTAGATACAGAGCTTCCTAATGGTATGTTCACTAGTAACTATGTTGTCTTTTTATTTTGTTTAATTGTTTGGTTCATCGAGGTCCCCAAAATCTTTTGGCAATAAGGCTTGGATGTTGTTGTTTGGTTCAACTAGGACTATTGTACATTTGTATTAGTTGTAAGGTAGATGCACAACAACCATTTTCAAGAAGCGACTGACTTCTTAAACATTATAATTGGGTGGGATATTATGTGTGTTTTGTTATTTCAAATTTTGCTTTCCATTTAATTAACTGGGGTATGTGATTACATCCTGATAAGGTACTTGCATTGTTGGGTTAATTTCGAGTTGACCAGCAAATGTATTTATAGTACTTGGTACTCAACATCTATGCATCAATAAATAAGCATCATATATCTTCCCCCCACAGATATACCAGATAATGACTACATCAAATATTTTGGCCCTGATTATTCATTGAAGATTCCTGGTGGGCACCTGGTATGTTGAGTTTTCTATTCTAGTTTTACAGTAATATTAAGAATGAAAATCGTTTTTAAATGTGTGTTTTTTATATCAGAACTATCCTTGCATATTTTATACTCCCTCACTTCTTTATGAATGTTTTTTATATCAGAACTATCCTTGCATATTTTATGCTCCCTCACTTCTTTATGAATTGTCTGGTATTCCTTTTTGGGATGTTTTTTTTATTATTTGTCCTTTTCTTTTTAGTAAGTTTTTCAATAAAAATACCTTTATACCTTAACTTTATTACCCTTACCCTTTTACAAACTACTTTCTCTTTTCTACTTTTTCTTTACTTTCATCTGCATAATATATTCTCTTTCCTACATTTTCATTTACCCTACACCCTCTATACTACCCCTATTATTTTCTGCTTATAAATCACAAAAAACCCAAGGGGTCAGTTAAGAAAGAACGGAGAGAGTATAAGAACTACCTTTGATATTACTATCTTTTTTTTTGGAACAGGAAAACATGAACAGCAAATCATATCTTGGCACCATAAAAACACATGTATTGGAAAATCTTCGTAGCATCCAGCATGCTCCTAGTGTGCAGCTGCAGGAGGCAAGTTTTGTTTGTTGCCTCTAAATAACTGCTATAATAAAAATAATGATAATTAATAAAACAATATGTTGTGCTTATTTTAATCCCACAAGGCGATAACCCTTGGTTTAAGTTGGATTCTTGCACCTCATCTTTGATCCTAAGACCACCAAAACCTGAGTTGACTTCTTTATTGCTTATCTTTTTCTTGTTTTGCAGGTACCTCCAGACTTTTATATACCGGATTTTGATGAAGATGAGCAAAATCCTGATGAACACTTGCATCGTAAGTGAAAAGTTGAAAATGCACATATTTCATTTATAGTTGCCTAATTTTGTTATGAAGCAACAATCAATCCATGCAATTTTCGACGCGATGTTTACCTTGGGTCATCCGGAAACAGTCTCTCTGTGCTTTAGTACAGGGGGTAAGGCTGTGTACATCCAACCCCTCTTACCCCACCGTAGGTGGAAGCCTTTACAGCACTGGGGTGATGATGATGATGATGAATTAACATTATAAATTTCATACAACATTCCCAGTATAGTTGAAACTTGAAATTAAGGTGACATATCTCAACTGCAGTTGTTGCAAAAATTGATGTTTACATTTAAATTTATTAATTTCCTTTTGTCTCCCACATATTACACAGAGCATACACGAGACAAGCAAATCCAGCGAGATGATGAATATTATGAAGGTGACAATGACAACGATCACTCCATGGATGATGCATGAGCTTCCTGCATCTTACGAAGGGAGATAATGGACTGCGCCCAGTTGATTACATCAACGAAGAAACTTGTTCAAAACTGTTAATCGGTCTGGGTCTGGTCCGAACATGGTGCCATTCTATTTTTTCGTTTCCCCCCATTTCCAAGCAAACGAAAATAGCTGGTGTGGAACCTAAACTGGGACCGGAATCGGACTTGGTCATTCTCCGGTCATCTTTATTTAATGACTTGCTTCATAATTAAAGACCTCCTGGTCCATTTATTATGAACGATGAACTTAGGCGTTTCCTAGTTATCTTTATTTGATGGCCCGGTCCCTTTATTATGGGCGATTACGGTCCATCTCTCGATCATCTCCATTTGGTGACTTCTATTATTTAGCGTTGATTGTTTGATCATATTGGTTGTATCTCTTTATTTTGTTTGATTAGCTCGGCCCATCTTCGAGTCATCTTTATTTGATGATATGATTTTCATATTTTGTTTGATTTTGTCTATCTATCTATCATCTTTATTTAATGATGAGGACTTAATATTGTGCTAAGACAATTGGCGGAGCTCGACATGGCCAAGGGCCCAAGGCCCAGTGCGAGGTACAACCAATAATGACTATCTTACTCCTTTTCATCTCTTATCCACTCACCTCAAGGAGTGAGGAACAAGGATGATGTCTGAGGAAACAAGGGATGAGCTAGCACAAAAGATTACCAAGGCCGGGCCCGCTACACTTGAGGCCAAGCTTGACATTAATGATGTTTAGCTCGCGACACTCGAGGCCAAGCCTGACATCATCGAGCTGAGGCTGAGCTAGACGCCTAGACAAGCATACTAGTCACACTAGGTGTTAGAGAATACCGGTCTTAGCCATTCTAATCACGGATGACGACCGTTGCAATAAAGGCCGAGGAGTTTACCCGTTGCAAGTGTACTCTTTTGTCCCTTCATTACAATTTTTTCCCATTGGGATTTGTTCCCAGTGAAGGTTTTTAATAAGGCATGACATGGACGAGGGTGGAGATCTTCTGGTCTAGGAAAAGAGCAGCTGACACATTTGAGGAGTAATCCCTTTCACCTCGACTGCTCTCACCTCATAAACTGGCGACTCATGATGGATATATACTATATCATACATCAAGGGCGATAGCCGCCATTTGTTTGGTATTGAGCCTAACCTGTTTCATATACCGGCCCACGGTGTAATCTATATGCACATGGATCCTATTTATATTTGATTCATATATTCATACTACACATTCTATCCCTCTTGCTTGTTCATTTCTCTCTATCTTCTCTTTAGATTTATTTTTTATTGATTCCATTGCTCGTTTTTGAAAAGTTTTTCCACAAAAGTTTATTAGTTTAATAAGATTAAATAATATTAAAAACTTTTAAAATAAAAATTATTAAAATTTATGATATTTTAGGTCTAAATTCGATAGTTTTTGATCATTCGAATTCTCTATCGACGCATTTGATCTTTGAGATTACTTTTTGATAGTTAACCTATCTTTCAAGTCCTATATTTGATAAAATTCCTATTTTTAAACTAATTCAGATTTGCAAAGTTTTGCAACACAAATAGACTCCTGGACGACGTCGTATGCAACTTACAAGGACCTCTTTTGAACTGCCAACCAATCTTCCCAAGCCATATACGCAAAACCTTTGACCTGTCTGTCACTCACCCTACCGCCCATACTCCATACCATACTTCTTCTCATCCGTGTAAGCAAAAACATCTTTTTGTTCTTTACTCTTTTTCCCATCAAATTTATTCACATGAATTCCGAACCAACTCCAACTTTGCTGTTCAAGATTTCTCCTTCCCATCATACGCACTCTTATTTGGGTTAGCAATTATAATTTGTCTCTCGATGTCGTCGAGACATTTTCTACTGTTCTAACTGACTTGCATCCTTTTCAGCATGAAAAGGTTCAAAGATTGGATCTTTATTTTTATCTAGTTCTCAATTTACTTCCCATTTATTTAATTGAGGAGTTTTCTTTTGCTTATTATCATGCTGTGCTTCCCCTTCAAAGCTGGTGTTTTTTAATTACCACTAACTTTATTTATAGATTGTTTTGAGGGAATAATATTTTTTCCTGGTTCTGGAATGTGGAGTAATTTAAGTAGGCTAACAATTAGGTCAAGTGTTTGTTATGATTCAGATAGAACTAAATGTATACCCATTTTCAGATCCTTGACCTCAATGGGTCTGCAAGTCCTCTCAGGGGATATGTCTTGCCGTTCTTTCTATAGATGTTCATCCGCTGTGACTTCGTGTTCATTTCCTTTATTCAAAGGAAGGAATTCGAGATATAGATACTCAGGGAATTCAAGAACGTCCACAAGTTTCTCCACACAGGCAATTCATGGTTTCCCCGGCTTGTGTAAAGCGGGGAAACTGAAATCATTACATTGCAATTGCTTACCAGCCGAAAGGGTAATTGAAAAAGTTTTTGAGGATGAAAAGGGAAGAAAAATGCATACTGCTGCTACTCAGCAATTGAAGAGTGGCAATGGAGCTTTACCATCCAGTAAAGGGTTGTCAAACTCAATAGAGGATGAGGCATGGAAGTTGTTGCAAGAATCAATGGTGTATTATTGTGGTAATCCTGTCGGAACAATTGCTGCAAATGATCCCAATGATTCTAGTTGTCTCAACTATGACCAAGTGTTCATCCGTGACTTCATACCCTCTGGGATTGCTTTCCTGTTGAAAGGGGAGTATGATATTGTACGGAACTTCCTCCTTCATACTCTTCAATTACAGGTGAGATAACTTTTACTTAACAGCTATTTGTGGTTAAGGCTTCACTTCTATTTTGTTATGGTTTATCACTTTATCTGTTTATGTTTAGTATGGGATAATGTATGGCAACATGAAACCTGGTAATAGAATTGAGGTTGGTTGTTATAAAAAATGAATTGAGGCTGGTTGGGTCACTCAATTGAGAATAAGACACTTGGGCCAAACCACCTAAAAGATTGAATTCAATTGGTTGACTGGTTCAACCAATTTTCCTGTTAATGCATTATTCCAATGTGTCTTTTATTAGAGTACAATACATCTATGCTTTTATTTATATGACAGTTAACATTTGTTAATATGACAGACTATCTGATAGTATGTTTAATGAAGAGGTAAGTTGTTAAAACCTGCACATTTTTCTGAATATGGAAGTTACTATAATCATTGTGCTGCATGCAAATAGTAGCCACCATTGTTTGCGCACATTTTTGCACTTGATATTTTCTTTAGGGTTTTCTGGCTTCTTGAAGGCTTGGGTATGCCCTATTTTATTAATCTTGGATATTAAAGGATGATATATAGATTTTCAGTATTGTGAAAGAAACCTCTAACAAACTTCTAACAAGTGAAGACCGGGAAGTTTTCTTTTGGATGTTAGGAAAAGTTGGTTTTTGAAAAAGCCCCAGTTCGGAGCTACATATACAAGGGGAAATCCTTACCCTACTGTTAGAGTTGATTTGGATGGACGGTTTTGGAAGCGGTGTCTTTGGAGGACTTAGTATTTATCTGGAAATACATATGTATGCATATCTAGATGACTTAGTCATCTAAAGTCTTCTTGTTCATATCTGTTTGGATGGAGGAGAAGACTTTGGATGGGCTTATACTTGAGATTTATACAAAATTGTAAGATTAAATCATTAAATTAACATTTCAAGAAGTGGACAAGCCTTTCCAAAACCTTCTTCTCCATCCAAACAGACCCTTTGTGTTTACCCAGTTTATATTTCTTGTAGATCAGCTCAAAAGTAAGGTCGGACAAATTATAATCTAAAGCACCAAGTTCATTGGTAGTTTGGTACATTACATTCCATTCTGAATTCATTCAGCTAGATATCATGTACTTCATCATCTTGTTAAATAATCTCACTATTCACTTTTTTCATGCAAACAGAGTTGGGAGAAAACAATGGATTGCTATAGTCCTGGACAAGGACTAATGCCTGCAAGCTTCAAAGTGCGTACTGTTCCATTGGAAAATGATGAGGGTGGAACTGAAGATGTTTTGGATCCTGACTTTGGTGAAGCAGCGATTGGCCGTGTTGCACCTGTTGATTCTGGTATGTCTTTTACTCTTCTCTAAAAAAGAATATTCTCTTCATATTTGTCTTTCTTTAATGAACTTTTGCGGTGTTCCAGGATTATGGTGGATTATATTACTGCGGGCATATGGGAAATGTTCGGGAGACCTATCTCTAGTAGAGAGGGTGGATGTTCAAACGGGAATGAAAATGGTATTAAAGCTATGTCTTGCTGATGGTTTTGATATGTTCCCTACTTTATTGGTGACTGACGGCTCCTGCATGATTGATCGCCGCATGGGCATTCATGGCCACCCTCTTGAAATTCAGGTTTTTCTCTCCAGTCAAACTAACTCCCTATAAACATAAGTTGTTAGTAACTTTTTTAGTTCTTAATGATATAAAAAGCAAGAACATTTTATTCAGAATAGAATTTGCCACAGGTCAGTCAAGTTCCATGATGTGCAATGCTGTATTTAAAATGTCATTTTCAAGGGGGGCACAATATACTTTTATATCTATACACTGAACAACAACATCCAAGCCTTAGTTACAGTAGAGTTTGGGGTTGGATAACATGAATTGAGATAGTATAAGGCTGAACCAGTTAAAGTGTATTTATCTATACACTATATATAACAAAAATATATTAAAATTAGACTTTACGGTCTAGATTACACTATTTGATTTGCATTGAATTGATGAGGCCCACATTTGGAAACATTCAAGTGTGAGTCCCATAAGTTCAGTGCAAATCAAATGGTGCCACTTAGGCCGAACTCTCCATAGAAAAATCCGGGGCCTGCATGTATAAATTTTTTTGTACAATTTTCTACGTATATTAATCTTCTCTTATCAACTTGAGGGTGGTTGGCATTTCAGGTTCAACTGTTTTTTTGGGTTTCATTTCAGTTTAGTTTGAAATGATTATTATTAAATTACAACTAAACTAGATTTGCTTGATTTAATCCAGTTCGGGTCCGGTTTGAATTTGTTGGTTTATTATTTTATTGAGGTTTTCCATCATTTGCAATGGAGCTAAAGATTCATTATTTTTTTGGCTTGAGAATATGATGGAATAAAGCAAAATGGCTTACTAAACTGTCTGCGCTTCTTTGTTATGAAGCAGCAGTCAGTCCATGCAATTTTGGACGCTATTTTCACTATGGGTCATCCGGAAACAGTCTCTCTGTTCTTTAGTACAGGGGTAAGACTGCGTACATCAGACCCCCCCCTTACCCCACCGTAGGCGGGAGCCTTTGCGGCACTGGGGTAAATGAAAATGATGATGAAAATGAATTATTTTATTGAGGTTTTATTATTTTACCCCACTGTAGGTGGGAGCCTTTGCGGCACAGGGGTAATGATGATGACTATTTTATTAAGGTTTTACTTTTTTATTGGGTTAAGTTTGATTATGTTC